TCCATTTAATTGTCCATGTCTTTATTAATGATTAAACAGCTGCATTAATTTGTATTTTTTTTTTAAATCTCCCCATGGTTAAGCTTCAAATAGGTCAATTGACGGTTTAAAGAGGCCCAGTGAAAGATGCAAAGTATCATAAGCAACCATTACAGATAATGCAATGATCATCAGAATAGTGGCTCCTGCACAGGAAAACAGTAATTAAATTGTTACATTAAAAGTGTCCTCTAACGTGCTGCTCTACTTTTATTATATGTTACTGTGAAAACTGGAGAATCTTCAATGTAATAAATAGGAACACTCCTATTTTTTTTCTCCGACATTATGTGCAATACAAGTACTTTTAGTTTAATGGCACTTTCTAAACATCTCTATTTTTACACATCTCTCTCTCTCTCTCTTGTGATGTAGCCATAGATACCTACATTAGCCACAAAAAATTAACTTGTAACAGAGAAATGAGTCATGATGTATCTTCAGGTTGGAAAAAGAAAAGAGTTGTAAAGGTTTTCATTAGCTATTCCAAAGGGAATCCAGAGCCAGTACTGATTATGTAGCAGAGGGCATGCAAGTAGCAGTTTAAAACATTGTGGAGTTAGAAAGATTGTAAAATATTACAGACCACACAGCCCTTTTACGTAAAGCTTACTATCGGGTTCATTTATAAAAGTTCCACCCAACATACAGCCGGGAAGATGCTGTTCACATGTCATTAGCGCCCCAAGATGGCTCTGACAAGTATAGGAAATTCCTATACTCGTCATCTTCACCTAGTGGTGCTAGTGTCATGTGAACAGCATCTGCCCGGCTGTACGCTAGGCAGAACTTTTATAAATGGACCACTATGTGTAAACCTTGATTATGATCTGGTTCTAGTTCTGTTAAATTGATTAGGGATATATACTAGGGTTGCACAGATACCAAGATGTTAAAATAATGTATGTATTTCTTCCTTCAATTAAAAAAAGCTTGGGACAACCCATTAGCTACAGTTTCTTTTTATTCAACATAGTTACATAGTAAGTAAGGTGGAATAAAGACACAGACCCATCCAGTTAAAAGTGTGTGTGTGTGTGTGTGTGTGTGTGTGTGTGTGTGTATATACTTGGCTCTTAGTAGTTCCCATATCCTTGTATATTTAGTGAACTCAGAAACTCATCTAAAAGTTTCTTGAATTTATCAATGCTATCAGTAGTTGCTACTGACGTTGGAAGAAAATTCCAAAGTTTTACTACTCTCACAGTAAAAAAAACCACTTATGCAGTCTAAGACTAAACCGCCTCTCTTCTAACCTCTTGTTGTGCCTTCATGTCACTGTGTCAGTTAATCTTCAGTTAATCTTCTCTCTACTACATGTAAAACAAAATAAAACCAACAGCGTTTTCTCCCAGTGCATTATCGTTTATTGGATACCTTCCCCCTTCCTCAGAGCTCCCCCGAAATGTGTCAGTTAGTTGGTCTTCTTTGGGACCTGCTCAGTATTCCGATTGCTCATTTCACTATACCTGTATGTGAGTAGTTTTTATTTCCTTTTTATACTCCATCCAATAAACATTAATGCAATAGGAGAAGGCACTGTTTGTTTCTAATAGTTTACACGAAGGGTTAAACTTAAAGTGACATTAAACCCTCAGATTTTTTAACATAAAACAATACTGTAATGTGTGCCTTACTGTAATCCATGGTAGCTTCCCTTCTCTTTGCTGCTCTTCCTTTTAAATCTGTATCTCTTCTCATGCTCTGCAGAACTTCCCTTTGCAGCAGACTGCCTTGTCTCTGGAATGGATACATGGGGGTTGATTTACTAACCTTATAAACACGCCACGAACAAGTATACACCTCTGTAGTGTGTTCCCTCCCAGCATGATCTATTGGTGGAATCTAGACACCTTTGTAGTGTGTACACACCCAGCAGGTGTGTTGTGCAAAGCCCTGCATGAATTGCAAGGTGATGTTGTGTAAATTAGCTCTACATTGTGTTGTTTGCGTTGATGAATGCAGGAATGTAAATGCATGAGCTAACCATTTTTGTCTAAACTGTGAAGCAGCATTATATATGCATCATGTGCATGATTTTTCCATATATGGCATTAGTGGAAATATGCTTTTAGAGACTTTTTGGTTGATAAATACGTTTTGCTGTGTAAAAATCACACGCACCTAGTGCGTGCGTGTGTTTAGGTTAGTAAATCACCCCCATGGTGTCTTTGTGTACGTTTGTAACCTGAGCCAGCACTACTGGAAGAGGCACTCAGCTGCAAAGGGAAGTTCTCACCAAGCATGAGAAGACATGAGGATTTAAAAGGAAGAGCAGCAAAGAGAAGGGAAACGACCATGGATTACAGTAAGGCACACATTACAGTATTAGTTTATGTTAAAAAATCTGAGGGTTTAATGTCACTTTAAGTATCCCTATTTATGGAAGTATCACAGTTAACTGTGGGAAAAAAAACATTACATGCATATCTGAATAATATGAGTTATTTTTAATCTGTGCTATGTGTGATTTTAGAAATCCCTCCCATATAATGTATTAACGATCCATTATTCTCTGCACAACAGATCTCATTTGAAATGGTAATGAGACAGAATAAAGTGTTTGCTCTAAATGATTGAATAAAAGTGGAGGAAGAGAACAGGAATAAGTTGCATCCATTTAGTTCTGTACATTTTATTATCTACAAAATCCCTATGTTCCAGCCATAATGATGATGGTATTCAGCCAACAAACAAAGCTCAAGCAGAGTTCAGGCAATATCATAAAGAAATAGCAAAATAGTAAAAAGTCAATTTATTTAGACTAAAACGGCCATATGGTATGGAGGATGCTGACAATTTTGTGTTTTTTGTTTGCTAGAGTTCTTCTTTTAACCATTATTCTATACATACTAGTGAATAACATGACTGATGTTAATATAACCAGGCAATGCAGCATATCAGATTACAAAAAATACATGTACAAATCATTGAAACAGATAAAAAATGCTTAATTTAGAGAAGGCTAAAATTTGAGGTGTATTATGCAGGACTGCAATACAGCAACAGTTTGCATTAGTATTTATAGCCAAATGCGTAATTTTAACATTTCACTAAAAAGTATTCCTAAAAGAAAGGTATCGTGTCATTACAATTTACATATTACTAACCAGGGCTGATAACTGCTGAATCTAGTATTAACCCTGACACAATTTTCGGCAATCCAAACTGAGTTGGAAATGAAGAATGCATAAACGTAAGTTATTGTCTGTAAAAGCCACATGTCGAAAACATAAATAAATAAAAAACAAATCAGTAGACCATATTCTATAAGCAACTAAATGAATATGCAAGTCTTAACGCTTTCTTAAAAGAGAACTATGGCCAAACCTTTTTTGGCCCTAATTCACTTATTATGTAACAATGTCCGCCTGTGACCCAAAACTCAGCATATAGAGAGCTATTGCCTGCTATATGCTGACAGCACCGAGCCCACGCTGCCGGCGGGAAGGATCCCGACAATATTGTCAGGATCCACCATGCTACCTGATTGACAGCTGGCACTGCCTTGCTAGAGGCAGAGCCTGCTGTGCCTACCTCCTCACTTATCTGTCCTTTCAGTCACTGCTGGAGGAACATAGAGGGGAGGGGGTAATCCCAGCGGGGAGCAGTGACTGACAGTCACTGCTGTGTGCAGGGAAAATATCGTGAACTGTGCAATCAGGTGTGTGTGATCGCTCAGTTCTCGATCCATAGAGCCGATGTGTGATGCTGCAGCTGCCACTCTAACTATTGGGATGAATGTATTTCATTTATCCCATATTTCTCCTTTAAAAAACATTTTTGAATCAATCCCTTTAAAACATCTTAAATGTTCCTTCAATGGGATGGGTTGTCTTAGTGACAAAGAAGCAACCTCAAAAGGTGGACCAAGCTTGCCTGTTAACTTTCACATATATCTTCAGATGCATATACCTCTAGATCAACTAATTGTTTTGATATGTGGCCTTTATGTAAAGCTGGACTACTGCCTTACTTTCAGACTTCTCTGTTGTACTGACATTGCTTATTCTGATTTCACTGCACATTGTGAGCTTCTCACAGTGTGCATTGGAAGCAGCAGCTAGTCAAGTAAAGCCTGCCTCATTTCCTGGTTGGAGGACATCCAGCATCACCTAACAGATTGGATTTCAGTTCTTTCAAGCATGGAGACTCATCATCCCATTTAGAGGTTGCTTAGGTATCTCTCCATGTACATTCAGTCTGGCTAAGAACTCACACTCCTTTAGACTTATATTCACTCATGAAGACATTTGGAAATGTGCATATCTTCTCCCAAGAGCTTTCCCACTACTTGTTTTATGTCTGAGGGCTCTTGAGAGGAGTAGTAATGTATTCAGGAAGCTATATACAGCATCCTGCTGGCCACTCCCACCAGACATAATTTGCCTGCATTGCATAGAGAAACAAATGGGCCCAGCGATGACATCACTGGGTCTAAAATAGAGTATGTAAAGAAAATAGAATTTTCTTTATTTAAAAATGTAATCAGAATGTTGATGAGGTGGGGAAGGAGGAAACAGGGAAGGTAAAATATAAGCAGATTAAACTTCAGCTTCCAGGTAGAATTATTGTATACATTTTTCATCATAGGCTCAGTTTAAATTGCCAATTTATGACACATGTTTACTTTAATTACCGGTACATATAAACTATACATGTTCCATGGCTGACTAAAAATAGTCAAGTCATTGACCTCCATCTAACTAACCATGGTACTATTGTATAGCCTATATTTGTCAGCAATTAGAGTAATGAGTTGACTACCCTGTAACTAACAAAATAGACACACCATTAAAATAAACGTGTATTTAAGAACATGTAGGAAACCTTTCACATCTAAGAAAAACGAGTAACATCACAAATGCCCTGTGTGTACAATTTGCATCTCATTGTGTGCTGTAATCAAATGAGCCAAAGTATGCTTTTTTTTAATTGTAACTTCATTATATCTTTTGTCTTGTTGACGATCCATGCATTAGATGTATTCTGGCTTGGAGACAATTTGCATTTCTACTCCTTCAGTTTTATCTCTGAGGGTGCCTTGAAAATTTCCTGAGTTTCGATCCCTGTGGGTAAAAAAAAAGCAAATCAATGTAACTCATAAAGAGGAACTATGCCCATATCTTTAAAATAACAACAAACACACCTTTAGAAATGTTTAGTAATGACAATCTACAAACACATACTTATAAATAACTGCAGGCTTTTTATTTTTTGCATACCGTATTTATCTTTTCTTCCCCAGTCTTCTGACAGTGGCCATTTTAACTAAGGGCAGTTTACTAGATCTCTCTTTACCTCCTGGAACTCTGGCACATGTGCCTAGGACGTATGACCATTCACATTATCTGAGGGAAGGAAAATGCATTTCCCTGAGATCTCATGAGATTACAGATGAGATTTCCCGGCAATGCTCATTATATCATTTGTGCCAATGTGGACGTGGAAGTGGATGAACTCTATTTGTACGTAGATGAAAAACATGTATGTTTGACCATTGAATGTAATATGTTTTTTTTTATCAGCATGCAGAGTTGCATGCTGATGTGATTTTTAGTGATAAGGGTATATAGGTCCAGTTTAAGGGATATCAAAACCCAAGAACAAAAATTTTATATATTGTAGTTTAGTAGTCTTAGATGAGGTGGCTGTATTGTTTTGATTTTTCAGGCTTCCACTCAGTGTATATATATATATATATATTTACCAATATATCTTCTGCTGACCAGTGCTCTTTAGATATATATATGTATGTAGTACATATAAATAAAAGTGCTGTCATTTTAAACTAACAATATACCCAAGAACTATATTTCAAAATCACTTGCTGAATAAGTCTGTTTTGCTTTGAAGCCAACAGGGATTTCATCACTAATTCACTGATCCAAATTTCCAAGACTGGAACTACTAAATGACTTACCTGGATAATCTGCAGTGTCTGTTGCTAAATATGCAGTAAATTATTGGATTGACAGCGCTGTTTAAAACTGGCAGATTCTGAATAATTATAGATGCATAGATGCGCTCTTGAGTCTTTGGCAGCATTTCAAAGTTATCCAGTATGTCAAAAAGAAAGTAGGGGCTCCAACACAGTACAAAAGCTGCATAAACAAACACAAAACAATGTGTTGAAAACTTGATCAGATCATATTGTGCCTACAAATGGATAGCCTCATATACAATATGCTGAACTATTAAATTTAGTTTTGCAGTGAGTTTTGGGTTTTATAAACCATTTTAAAGTTCTTAAACTCCAACTTAGGTAAAAATATTTTATTTTGGACAGAGCGAGAAACCTCTGACAGGTTTTATTGCTGTCTATGCCCCTCTCTCAAAACACTGCTGCCCAATGCTGATGGGCACTGTGCTCTTTGGAAACTGTTGTGCCCAGAATGTGGTGGGTGCTTATGTACCAACTAGCATTTAGCATGTTGGCCCCTTCCTGGTGAACTAGTTTGAGGGGTCCCTTGGAACCCTAGTCAGTTCACTGTGCACACGGGCTGCCACACAACAATATAATAAAAATATGCTGATACTCATAAAATGCTCTTTAGCAAATATTATTTACTAGTTTTTACCTTCCAGGTTTGACCGAAGGTGTCCTGCAGTGTCTTATCCAGTGCTGGTGGCTTCATGGAGGAAGGAGCACTACTCTGAGCAATGATAAGCTTCTCTCCATTGAAACCATTTTGAGTGCCTAGGGAACTCAGGGGGAGGAGTTCCCTGTGACATTACTGCCCATATTTGGACTAATACCAAAAAAGGATGTTCCATCAATGACTGACAAATGTGTATACTCTGAGGAGCAGGATCTGCAGAAATTGCATCTATAAGTGACCTGTGTTACATGACCAGGCAGAGGGAGTGGTTGGTAAAGTATATCTGCACCAACCTGCAACTTCGTTGTGCATCTCTGCAATAGATGATCTACTAACATTATCTCTGCTCCTGCTCTCAGCTTTGTTTCAATGAAGTAAGTGCTATTGGCCATTGGCCTGGTCAAACAGTAAGAACTACTTTGACAATTGCTGTTTTTTGACAAACTGTTTGTTTTTAACAGACAAGTGCAGACCACTTAAATGGGTTTGACATGCATGATAATTAGCCTTTCTGTTGTCAGTCTGATAAACCTGTTCCGACTTTTTAGTTCTAATTTTTCAAATTAAAGAAATGAGCAACCCCCCTGCCAACAATACCACTCCAGTATACCAGGCATACAACTGATATCACCTTAGCAAAAAAAGATGAAAACATTGTCCCCTTGCTGTGTTAATGCCAGCTTGTTTTTCTTCCAACATTTGGGCCGAACAGTCTTTTATTCCAGTTACTTTAAGGATAGGATGAAAAGAATGGGATAGGGAAAATGTAAAACCCCAGCAGCTTTTTAACCAAGTGGCACTTCTTTAACTCTCAGTTGGGTGAATGAATAAAAAGTTTGGAAGTAGCAATCTTTCTCCTTCATTATGGGCATATGGGTTATAACATGTCTTTTGGGGTTGTAGAACAGGCCAACAACATTCTGGCAGTTGTTTTGGACTCTTTCTTAAAACTTTCACCTAATGCTCAAGAGTATATAAGTTAACACAACAAGAGGTCTATATTCCATTGGCCCTTTTTCCATGATGATACCAGCCTGTTTTTCGAGTATGCAGGGCTGGTATTATTCTGTTGAAGCAGTAGTCTAACTGCTGGTGAAATGGCTGACTTGGAATCCAGCCACTGGATGAAGAAAGGGCTTGTCATCTTTTGACGCTTCTTAACTTGCAGTAGCTAATCTATACCTTAAGAGCAATTATGCATGCTGGTGAAGGTGTAAGTGTTTGGAAGTGTACTGAGAAGACTGGTACTGCAACACTAAATGCAGAAACTGAGGCACAACCTGTCTTAAATAGAGCATAAGGCGAGAGGAAGAAACCTAGGGTTGGAGAAGTGTAGCAGTAGAAGAGGAAAGGATAGACTGGACAAGAAACGAGAAAAACAAGCAAGAACCTGGAAATTGAGATGAGGCGCAGAGTATAAACTAACCAGCAGACTATGTGCTAACATGAGGGAAACTAACAATACACTGGCAATACAATAACCTATACAGCAATAAGATAAAAAGACTTAGACGGGAAAAATCAGAATTCATAAGTCACAGGAATGTGTTATCTAAAGCTATCAGGAGGCTAGAGGTCAAGATAGTTAGGACTAATGAAGAACAGACAAAGAATGAACAAACCGATTTTGCTGGGATGCATGTTGTAGCTAGAGCAGTGACTGAAAATCATGTATAGAATTATAAAGGTCCAAAGTAGGAAACCAAGCAGGACCTTACAAGTAGCCTATATTTTTCTGGCTTTGTTATCTTTATTTCCATTTTTTTCAGGGAATGTGCTTCTTCCTACTAATCAATTCCAAATGAATCCTAGATTATTAAAAATTTGCATTTTTACACCATTTTTTTATTGGGAATTTTACAGCTAGCATATGCAGAGGAGTGAGATGGAACTTTAAGTAGCTGAAATATTTTGCAACAGTATAATGTAGTTTGTCAATCTTAGTAGGTGCTAAGAAGGGAAAACCTGCTTTCACATTTTCAGAAAAACAGTGGTATTAACATTTTGCCTCTTTTTAATCCTTTGTGAATGTGTCGGATCCAAAAGCAACACATGTTAGAAGCTTAATGCTGCTGAAAATACTGCATTAGACATTAGACTCTAATGTATTAGCCACGCTTTACTGGAGCGTAGGCAAACTGTTCTTCCTTGCTAGCTTCACATATATCTGAAGGCAATGTAATAGCAAGAAAGGTAAACAAAATGCAAATAAAGCACATTAGGTACCACAGATTAAAACCTTTTAATGGATACATAATGATAAAATGCACTTACAAATTGGCAACTTGAGCATAGCACAACAGAGCATATCATCAGGCAAAATACTCCCATTTAGTATCAGGTCAGGCAGAAACAGAGCTTTTCCTTGAGCATCTGGTCATCCAGATTTAAAAACTGCACTATGGGGACTGATCTGGCAGCCCAGAGAAAGATGGTCCCTTCACTGACATGTTTTGGGGCCCTCAGTCTCCATATAATGGATATTACTTCTGAACAATTTGATGCTGTAGCTTCTCCCTATTTAGTGGTTACTGTAGCAGTATTAAATCTGCATTCTACTTCTCCTCCTGTTATCTGCCTTGAAGGTATAGTTCTGCTTTTGTGTTACATGATGCCAGATAAGAGTATTTTGCTTGTTGACATGCTCTAATTAAGTTGTCACTTTATAAGTACTTTTTAACATTTATTTATCAAATACAAAAGGTGTTTATCTGTGCTATCCAAACAGCTCTTGTTTTCATTTACCACATTAGACACTAAGTGCTATCAGAAAATGCTTATTTATGTTGTAGTTCTGAACTATATTGCTTTCCAACAATTAGAGCTAACAAGGCTACTGCACTGTAAACAACAATATGCCTGTAATTATTTGTGCACAATTAATTATGTTTGGATAAATTAAACCTATACATTGCATTGAAGTAAATGTAGACACTATTTGCGTACAGCATACATTTCATAATGTATAACTTTGAGCTCACCTATAATTTATACTCTGTAGAAAAATTTTTCTTAATTTATTATTCTGATTCAGCATATTTCATTCCAATTTTTCCCTGAGTGTATTTAATTTCATTCTTGTTCTTATACCACAGGAAAAGAGAATGTTCAGTGCTTACATTGCATGTATAGCAAAAAAGTGTGAGCAAAGATTAGAACCAATGTCAGGTGGGTTTATTTTTGCTGTCTGGGTTCCAGCTACATAGGATTGGCAAATCTGTTTGACCTGGTGGTCATTGTTACAGAGACAGTGAAATTCAAAATTTTAGAGGTGTCACTCTCACCTCACAAGAGGTGAGGATGCATCTTCCAATAGAGACATCTGTTCCAGTGACAACTAAGTTCCCCTCACATTTCTTCTCACTTCCTGTTGTATCTCAGGGACAGGAAATGAAGGGAAATCTCCCCAACAGAACACAAATCAATGTAGATATTTTAGATTGTAAGCCCTAATGGGCAGGCCCCTCCTTACCATCTTGTCTTGAATTGTATTGTGATTTTAATGTCTTCCTTATATTTTAAAGTGCTGCTCAAACTGTTGGCGCTATATAAATCCTGTTTATTAATAATAATATCAGCTGCATACAATTCAGTGTTGTGACCAACTATAATAAAGTGGTGCTTGAAGTGACTGGGGCAGATGGCACATTTTGGGACCACTCAGGGTCCCTTTCTTACTGTAGACATCTTGCGAAAGGGACCCTCCCTCTCCCTATCTGGGAGCAGCTGTACAGGGAATTGCAGGAGGCTGATAGCAAGAAAAATCAATGTTTTTGTGCTTTCTTTATCTACCTGGATTTGAGCTTTAATATCATTGCATTTTAGCCCACTACACATTAAGTTTTTTTGTTTGTCATAATTGAGGTCCACTAACCGTAGATTTATGTCTTAAGTCTAGCCTAAAGGTATAAATAAAACTAAACCTTTTGCTTGTTTTGCATAGAGTAGAGAAGCGTTAAATCTCTTCTCCTTGTTAGGTAGATATAACAGGATGTGAAACAAAATATCTCTACTTTACAGCAGCTTAAATAGTGCCTTTAGTTTCTCTCCACACCACCCACAAATTACCCATGAGCCCACATAGACCAAGATGACCAGGTTTTCAATTGAAACCTGTGGACACCCTACTGACCATGCCCACTTTTAAGCACACCCACAAAATAATGCCACCACTTCAATCAATATTTAAACAGTATAAACATTATGTAAAAATTTAAATTCCCATAAGAGTTATCTACGTGGCTTTACAGTAAAAGGCAAAACATTGTGACAATATGTGAGCATGATTAATGCTGGACACACACCTTACCAACCGATGGTTGTAAGGTAATTAAAAAAACGTACGATCTGCCTATCTTGATCAGGCAAATCGTACTGGCGATGATCGCAAGCTGCGCCCCCGAGGGGCGGGCTTCCGATGACCGCAATGCCGCTTGCGCACACCGGCCCGTCCGGCTTTTATCTTACGAACATGCTACACACCCGCCGAACATCGTACGATGCTCGGCGGGTTTTCTAACATGTTCCTAAGATAAAAGTCGTGCGACCTTACATTAATAGAGGTCGCACAGCTTCCACACACCTTACGATAATTGTACGATCGCGGGATTTCCCACGATTATCGTACGATTATTGCAAGGTGTGTGGGCACCTTATGACTATGAAAGACCTGGGGCACCCTAGGTTAGAATCCTGAAACAAGTTGGCAAATTGTGGGAATGGTAGCACCGAACAGTGACAGTAGCTTGAAAGGGGATGATTATACAGAACCTATGCCTATTTGCTGTATACACTGTACACATGTGCCCGCAGTCTTTGTACCCTCAAAATAATGCTAATCAAAGTGCCACAAGCAACAATCTCACAGATACACTTAAGCCCCAGGACAAAAGATATTTTTTTAACCACTTCAGTACCGGCATGTTACACCCCCTTCATTACCAGGCCATTTTTCAGATTTCAGAGCTGTGCAAGTTTGGCTGAGAATTCCTCCATCACGCAACACTGTAACAAACACATTTTAGTGGTATTTAATAACCACTTTTTTTGTATTTGTTACCATAGAAAGAAAAAAGATTTGAAAAATATGGAAAAAAAAGCCTGCTTCTTCCACATTTGTTTATAAATGGTATCCAATAAAAATGTCAGGACAGTAGGAAAATCCTTGAAATCACACATTTTTGGAAAGTAGACACTCCAGGGTGACCTAATTTTTTGCAGCAATTTTTTGGAAATGAAGAAACATGCCAGTATTGAGGGGGTTAAAACATGGAGCTTTGTAATAGTGCACAAGATACAATAAATGTCCAGGTCACATACAATAGGAGGATGGAGATGAAGGGGTTAATGTATAGATGTGCAGGATAAGGGAGGTGAATGGGTTAATATACAGGTCAGGACATATACAGAATGAATCTAACACAAGCAGGATAAGAGCGGGTTTAAAAGGGTTACAATGATTTGAAACTTTATTTTTTTTTTGCTGCTACTTAAAAGAGAACTATGAGGTGAGTGATTTACAACCATCCTTATAATTAGAGCTGACATGTGACATTTAAAGTGTCACACGTCGGCTCTATTGATCGGGAAGTGAGCGAACACATACCATCGCTCACTCACTTCCCGATCATCTCCCTGCAGAGAGCGGTGACTTTCAGTCACCACTCCCCGCAGGGATTTCCCTCCCCTCTCTTCTCCTCCAGTGCTGACTGGAGAAACGAATGGGGAGGGGGCGAATACAGCTGACTCTGTTTCTAGATAGGCAGCGGCCGTTGTCACTCACACAGCTGGGTGGCTCTCAACAGTATTGTCGTGATCTGTCCCGGCTGTGGCGCTCTCAGTATATAGAGAGCAATAGCCCGCTGTATACTAAGCTTTGGGTCAAGGGAGGAGATATTATATGTCCTCCTGTGACCCTAATGAGAACATGACTCATCCATTCATTACTTTACACTCCCCTGCCTCTGATGTAAGAGGAAAGAAAGTGCTTGGCAATATAAACATTACCATGTGATCGGGGTGATAACCATTCACAGCGATCACAAGAGACAGATCAGCTCTATATGTAAAGCCACAGCTCTCTGCTGTCTATTGACAATGGAAGCAGCGGCTGCTATGGCCACGGCCATGTACACATGCATGTTCACTGGAGGACTTACAGGTACCTCTTTCTGAAACAATGCACAAGCAGACCGGACATTTTAATACAGTTTAAAGAATGTTTTTCTAAGACCGGGCTGCCATGGACCCACCCCCAGCCTGTGGCTGGACAGAGAAGAAACACAGTTAATAACTAATTTCTCTGTCACTCTGTTTTCTCCTCCCATCAGTATGTCATAGGATGAGCAAATTGTCATCTTGTGCAGTGTCTTCCTCTTACACTCAAGCTCTGATATGCAGTGACTGCAGTAGGCTGATACCAAGTCAAATTCAGGTACTTACACTGCTTACATTTTTAAAAATACATTTGATGTTTTATTATTACAGAGCAGCATTAGTTTGTGTTTTCTATCTGTATATTTTTCAGCTTTAATCTACAGTATGTGGTTGTTATCAGTAAACACATACAGACCTTCTATTACAGTGGTCCTCAACCCCCAGGCCGCGGACCGGTACCGGTCCGTGGATCAAATGGTACCGGGCCGCGGGGCCCCGCACTGCCGATGGGCTTCCCTTCCCAGATCCGGTATGAATGGGGCCTTGGGCCCCATTCACACGTAGCGACATACCATTTGCAGCGGCCGGGATAGCGCGACTTTCGGGGTGACGTTCCAGCGACGATCCAGCGACGGTAGCGCGACCTTCTCAGTCGGGCTCCATTAGAAAAAAGCAAAATCCGCCGAAAAAAGGGTCCTGTAGAAGCGACTTGCGACCGCGACGAGTGACGTGAGACATGGAGCTAAGACAGCTCCATTGAATATCATTAGCCGGCGACTTCTCGCGATATCGCGCGGCAATAATGCACGATATTGCGGCGCGATATATCGCTACGTGTGAATGGGGCCTTACTGTCCAAAGAAAAGAATGGACAAAAAGATATCTCTATAGGTTGAACTTATCTCTTTAGGTTGAACTCAATGGACATGTGTCTTTTTTCAACCCAACTAACTATGTAACTATGATATATAAATAAAGCTTTCGAGCTGAACTATGAAATAGGAGTTGTCACTATCCTGGCTGAGTAGTATGGTAGAGAAGCGTGAAACACAGGACTGGCTCAACAGAATTATAGATCACTTGGCAAGTAGAATGGTTGTTAAAATAGGTTTTGGTAAAATACATGTTAAACTGTGTATTTAAGCTGTTTGGTTTAATTTGCACTTCATGTTAGGTAATTTGTAGTTACTTACCAAGGATGACTACAATGCTATATTTTATAGCTTTCAGTTTTGCTTTTGATATGAGTCCTCGATGATTGTAACTTGCACAGAAGTTTCCATCTAGATAAGAGAAAACTAAATTGTAAGTAACTGGTCAGATATTGATGGTATGGAAAATAAAGACTACTATAACTTCTGAAACTGGCATTGTTGGACCCGCTATTAATCCTAACAAAGTATTGTTTAGTGGTCCCTTGAGTGGGCTGCAAGTTTGAGTGTGCCCAACAGCATGTTATATACAAGGAAAAATCACAAAACAAATAACAAGTAATATAGATAATTACAGTTTAACTAGTTGCCGTCTGCCAAAAAACGGACGGCACTGCTGCAGTAGCGGGTTTTTTTTCTGCTCGTGCGTGCCCCCTAGCGCGCGCACGGGCAGAAAAAACCTGTGCAATGCATAGAGCTGTTGTTTTCAAATCATAATGGCTTAACCCCTTCGTGACGGGAGACGTACACTGTACGTCCCGCCACGAAGTGCCTATAGGACTGGCCACATACACTGTACATGACCAGTTATTTGAGGCTCTGTAATGCTGGTAACCACTGATTCTCAGTGGTTACCATTTATTAATGAATGCCTCAGTATTGAGGCATTCATTAATGAAATAGTTAAGCTTTTAAAAAAAAATTAATGAAAGAATGAAGGCGTTACATACAAATACCGGATCACTAAGTAGCGATCCAGTATTTGACAGCTAAACATAGCAGAGAGGTAGCAGAGTGAGTCACCTCTCTGCTATTCGTTTTGAAAGCTCCATAGACTGGCCCAATGTCTATGGAGCTGTGTGATACATTTCAGGCACAATGTTACAATGTATCTCTGTGCCTGAAATGTATCACTTCTGATCATCTGGGCACGATCAGAAACTTTTAGTGATAGCTGATTCTGACATGCTGGCAGGATCAGTCTCTAAAGTTATTATTAGCTGTTCCTAAGTTTGGAGCAGCCTAATAATAATAACCAAAAATGTAAAAAGTTAATTTATCAAGCAGTCATATAAACTGACAAAAACAATAAAGGGTAAAGAAAATAAAAATTATATATAAATATATTGTTATACTATAATTATTATAAAAATTCTAAAAAATAATAATAATCAAAACTTGTGAAAAAAATTGTTTTCTTTACGTTTTTTCCTCATTTTAAAATATTTTATTCGTACTAATTGAGGCGTTAGGTACACATGTTTGATATAATTATATAGCCCTATCTGTCCTCAATATATAATATGTGTGGGTACATTTAGTAAGAAAGTATATTACTGCCATGGAAGAATCACACAGCAAAAATGTAAAAAGTGTGTCAGTCATTTACAAACAGAAACTGAAAACAAGCTCATTCATGAAGGGGTTAAGCTCAGATTTTGCACAAAGTTGGGGTCAGGCTGGATCATCTAGGGCAGGGCTTAAAATGTCCACTCGCCTGCTCGCATTTGGCGAGTGGAAATAAAGTGAGGGCGAGCCAGACACGAGATCCATCCGCTCTCTCCCTTCTCTCCTGCACTTTCAGTTTCCTCTTGCTCTGTCCTCCTACGATCGACTCCAGATGTTGTGTCTTCGTTTAGACAGGTGACAGGAGACGTGTCTATTAGAAGCCGGCGTCTCCTGTCACCATAGATACCCGCTCTCTACTGCGCATGTGCAGGCAGACGGGACCATGAGCTCGAACTTAGTGGCCCAGCATCTAGCTATAGGCGTCCCTGTTCCCATGGCAGCACAAGTCGGCCTGAACTAACGGCCGGGTGCTGTGATCCTTGCTTTGATCTCCACACTGCTATTTCCCAGGAGGGGGAGACCGATCTGCAAAGGGTCATGGACGTAATTTGAGATCTGCAAGCAGGTACTCCAGTCTATTTTTTAGGATAGTTGGAAAACATTCCCTTTCATGATTGTTTAGGTTTATTATTTGAATTATCTGGCGGGAATGTGACATCATACTGATGCCATAGGAAGTTGGGGGCAGTTCTTTACTGTTTTTCTATTTGGTGATTAGGTTTTTTCTGTATAAAGTGTTGCTGGGAGTTGTAGTCATCTATAGCCGCTATCATTCTGCATTTATATATAAAGTGTAGCTGGGAGTTGTAGTCCTCTATCCAAAAATGCAGCATGGTACCAGTTATAGAGGACTACAACTCCCAGCTACACTTTATATATAAATGCAGAATGATAACAGCTATAGAGGACTACAACTCTCAGCAACACTTTATAACTGGTTCCATTCTGCATTTTTGTATAAAGTGTTGCTGAGAGTTGTAGTCCTCTATAGCCGTTATCATTCTGCATTTATATATAAAGTGTAGCTGGCAGTTGTAGTCCTCTATAACTGGTGCCATTCTGCATTTTTGGATACATTTTCCTTTATGTTTACATTGCTTTATGGTAATATTGTAAAAGTTGTTATTTATTTTTGTAACTTTATTCTGAATAAAACATTTAACAATGTAATTTCATAAGATAATTTAATAGGGTGTGTTTAGGGGCGGAGCTAAGGACGGGGCAGGGTAGGGGTTGGGTGCGGCAACTGGTGGCGAGTAAACACATGCATGAGCTAGTTGAGTTGCTAACAATGCCTTCCACTTATTTCTCCTTCTAGGTGCAGAGCAGCCAGTTGTCTGCAACTGCTGTTAATGTGCCTTCTTCCTCCCCCTCCTTTTCTACTAATTATAGCCCGGCAAACTGACAATGAGGAGTTGATGGAATTATTTTGTCACACAATCACTGACTTGCTGCAGGAGGATGTCTTGGTCATGCACAAGTATTTCATATACTGAAGATGAGAGAGTTAGTGCCAGCACCATAAAGCGATAGGGCATTAGACAAAAATCAGCAAGAGGCAGTGTTGTTCCATCAACTGAAACTTACTGCCAGCATTAAGGAAGAGGTGCATTAAGGTACGGGTGCCACCAACTGGGACAGAAAAAAGGAAGAGACAGAATAATAGAAAAGTAGGATTTTGTCAAGTGGGAATTATGAAATAGCCATCCTAATACACCTGATGGCACTATTCCACAAGTACAGGTCACTGCTATCCCCAGGGACAGTTCACAGAGCTCTGCGGTGTGGGGCTTTTTAAAAATAACTTTACTTACAAAATTTGACATGAATACACAGTGTACAATCAGGATATCAACATAGCAGCAGATAATACAAAATAAAAAATGTTGAAACATATCTAGTCAGAGCATTTTAGCACACAATATCCTGAGGAAGTGACTAAATGGTTTAAACCACCTTGTGTATAGGAGATGTATCTACGCCAGGAAAACAACAAGAAAAAGGAAATTCAGAAGGGTAAATAAGTATCTCAACTGACTATCACATACAAATCAGCAGTCCAACATAATATTGCTGAGAAACTGTAAAAAATGGGGGGTAAGTTTAATATTCTTAAGTAAAGTTAAAAAAAAGAGAAAGAAACACGGATTTTCAACCAGACCAGTAGTGTTCCAATCGATCCAATAAAATGGCTCTCGCTTCCATCCTTGACCCTTCATCAACCCTGTCCCTCCGCTCCAAAATAGAAGGGGTAGTGGTAGATTTCCAATATAAGGGAATCATGGTTTTCACCACATTGATTAGATGGATTGAGAGAGAGTTCTTATACTTGATCAAAGAAAACTTAGTGTCGTGCAATAGGTAACACCTGGGTTCTAAGTCATGAATAGAGGCAGTTGTCTTGCATATCCAGTGGTGTACCCAGTTCCAGAAAGGATCGCTTCTGGGTCAGGTCCACCAACTATGAAGTATTAAACCCACTTGGTGTGGGGCTTTTTAATGCATCTACAGCTTCACTTTCTGCAACCTCTGCCTGTAGCTTATAGGCTGTGGCAAAAGTAACAGCCATTTGGGTACCACAAACATGAGGTTAACCACATGACTGCACCACAGAGCTTGGTGGGAGCAGTAAGTCAATTAGACAACTCAGCAGCAAAGGGCCCACACTCTTTCTACTCCCTTCCTCATTCCTCAATTTCCACATGTCCAAAAGATTCTTCTACTGCATCCACCACAACATATGTGGCCTCTAGTGACAAGGAGGAAGGTCTCACAAAGCTTTTTGAAGGCTTAGGATACGCCATTTCAAGCAGAAAAAAGGTCATGGTGCCACACTAGGTGTGGTCAAACAAAGGCTTAAATCTCCACAGGATTCTATGTGGGCCACGCAGTATTATTGGTTGCTAAAACACAAATAGAGGCTCGGCCAGCAGAATTGCTGAGAGGGAATTGGCCAGTTCAGCAAACTGCGAACAGCTTGGCTTCTGGTTCTACTTATGCTTAATCCAAATCTCACTCTTACTAGCATGTAATCATCTACAGTAGTAGAAAAATATAGCACCAACACAAACTCTCTGCCAACCAACTCATCTGTAACACCCTCCAAGTGCTGGAACTCAACACTGGACATGCTGCAGAGGCTGCACTAGCAGCAGCATGCTATAAATGAATACCTGTGTGAATATGTCATGAGGACAGGCTCTGGGGAGCTGAGGTCATCTTGAATGGGTCACTGGCTCATCATTTACGTTGTCTCTAGCACTTTGCACCTTTTGAAGAGGCAACCAAAATGGTGAGTCACAATGAGGCAGGGGATTACTGAGACAATCCCTCTCATGTTCAGACAGTATGGGGCTGTATAAAAATTTACTAAAGGAACCATCTGTGCCGCCTGATAATATTTATAAAAAGTCAGGGAGACCTAAGCCCCCTTGTCGCCTATGGACATACATGGTAAACTTAGGGACCCTAGGACACTTATTCCCCCATACAAAAGTAGAGACCCTATTCTGGAAGGAATTGATAGTATATCGTGAAATGCCGACCTGTAAGGTGTGAAACAAGTACAGTAGTTTAGGTAATATAGACATTTTAATTGTTACCTATCCACGAGCGTTTATGTCTCATCCACGTAGACAACAATTACTTATTTTGTCTGAACAGGGGAATATAGTTGGTTTTATATAAAGGTTGATAGTCTTTTGGGATATTAATTCCAAAATATAATAGGTGGGATGATCACTATATGTGCTAAGAGAGAGGAAGGGTGAAGACCAGAATGT